ATATTTAAATTTAAAAACTGATTAAATTTTTACATTTTGAATTAAAATTTTAGTGTTTAAATATAAGTTGAAACTCAAATTTAAAAAAAAAAATCGAAATTGATATACATTAATCTCTAAATATATTGTAAGAGAAAACAATTTAAAATTAATTATTAATTTTTTTTCGTGTATAAACAAAATTAGTTAGTTGCGCCTTTCTATAAAGTACAAGGTTATTTTCTAATTGTATTATCATAAATAAAGTTAATTGTTTTGCTGATAAAAAAAAAAAAATTTATCATAAAACTTACGGTTACGGCCTCCATTTTAGATAATCATCAAACCAATTAGTCCCATTGGTCATGCATGTTATGGTCCTTCCTTTTTTCTTTTTTTTAACAGTGGGGAAATTTTTGGGGAAGGGGGAAAGGCATTGGTCATTATATTAATAATGTTACTTAATTTAATTTAATTTAATTATTAGAAATAATTAATAATTAATAATAATATTTGATATATTAAAATTAATTTATAAATTAATATTTTTAAATATTATAATTAAATTATTTTAAAAATTATGAATAAATACAATATTAATTAAATTAAATAATTTTTTGTTGACCTTAACAAAATAATGTGCTATAATAATACCCAATAATTATATATACAAATTGATTTGTGTAACTTGCTTCGAATGCAAATTTCCTAGCCTAACTAACAGGGTTAATCAATGAGATTATGGTTTCATTTAAGAACACTTTTTGATACATTGATTTTTAGTTTTTAAAATTTTTTATTATTTTAAAATACATAAAATATTAATTAAAATAAATATTAAATATATTTTATATATTTTTAAGATGTAAATCATAAAACAAACCTATAATTATAGCTACATAATACTACTATCAAACTAAGCCTATATATATATTTATATATACATTTCTTTACTTCTCAAGTAGGATCCTTTGTATCCATGGCCAATTTTCAAAAAAAAAAGAAAAGAAGTAAGATCCTTTGTAGAATTTTGTTTGTAGTAATATGGGAGAGGGGATGGGAGAGAATAATTTTGTTTCTCAACCCCACAGATGTATCAACCAGAATTTTACACACAATTTATATATCTAAATGAAAAGAAATATAAGTATGAAATAATGTCCTGTTTGGAGAATGGTGAGTGATGACTCGGTGCTGGACT